AAAAAAAAAAAAAAACAAAAAACTGGTATCCTATTTTATCTGCCAATTTAAAAAGTAACAGCTGGTACCCAGAGATCAGAGACAAGACGGGAATAAATTACATAGGTAATGAAAGCAGGTCTCCTTAAGTGGAGGACAAAGAATTCATGAAAAATATGGAGAGTAAGCTAGACATACAGAATTAAAGTGTAATATCTATTTAGGTAAGGAAAACAACCTGTTACTTTCAAGACCTGATGTTTACATTCGAAGTCCAAAAGACAACAATCTCTCTGTGCCACAAAAATTTAATTACCTGACAAACAGCCATGCACTCAGGAAGCACAAAGACGGTACCTAACACACAGGAAATACAAATTGCCCTGAGGTAAAAACTGTTCTCTCATGTTCTATCCAACATTTAGCACAATAGGGCATTCAGATCCTTTAAAAAAAAAAAAAAACACATCAAAATGCCAGCACTGAGCAAGTTCTGACTCATGGACCAGCATCATCATCACAATAATCCCCTTCAACAGGTGTGGGCAGTCAAACAGGTGTGCAGCACAGGCTTACTTGCCACTTGGACTACAAAAGGGAGAGAAGTCTCATCTTGAGGATCAGATCCACGGTGAGACTCATTTTACTTTAACAAAAAGCCTGTACAGCAATGGAGAAATCCTTATTTGGGTGCTATTCTTTTTTCCAGCACTAGTTCACAAAATAAGCTAAGGAAAATCCTCAAGCTGGGGAAAGTTCTTGGTTGATTTCCAGTTTGCCCTTCCAAAGCATTTTCAGATACCTGTTGTATTTTTCTGCCCAAAGCCTGAGATGCTGAATGGGTTTCCATGTTCCAGGAATTCTTAGAAGTCAAGGCTGTGGCCACTGTAACAGAGAACTGAGCCAGGAGCTGGGGTCTGGGTGACAAGCTGTCCTGGTAATTCTTTGTCTAAGTGATAAACTAGACAGAACTTCAAAGCCACATTTATAAAAGTGTGCAAATAACCACAGCCCAAAAGAAATGAAAAGTTACAGGCGGGCATATTTTGCAATTCTTAATTGGCTCTTTTTCATCCTGCTTTAATTATTGTTTAAACCAAGCTTTCTAGCCTCCCTCATTAGCCCATTGGTAAATGAAGTGTTAATATTTGTGTGCTTTGTTTAAGTATTTTATCTGCAGGCCATTCTGCACCGTTGTCAACATTTGCTTCCGACAGATGGAATCACGACCTAGGCCTCCCTTAAACAAAACATCCTTCCCAAAAGAAGTGCAGTTTCCCGCCCCAAGAGACGAGGTCTCACTCTATTGTCCAGCCTGGAGTGCAGTGGCCCGATCACAGCTCACTGAAACCTGGAACGCCTGGGCTCAAGCGATCCTCCCGCCTCAGCCTCCCAAAGTGCTCGGATTACGGGCGTGAGCCAGAGCACCTGGCCGAGAAGAGCAATTTATTAAAAACTGCTTGCCGTTCTGTGTTACTACAGACGTTCTCTGTGGCTCTTTGACCAGTAACATGCATATATACACACACAGTTTGCAAACGAGAACTATTCAACGTGACGTCCTAGGATGGTAAAGTTGGCCATCGTCTGAAGAAAAGTACTAATACTCTCAACGAAACCAAAACGAAAATAATACACGCTGTCTACGTCAAGAGCTTTTAAATATAAGAAACAGTTATTCTCGAAAATAAATAAGGTACGTACAAACTCGCTAGCTGACTCTCTTATGCTTAAAAGTTCTGTCAACAGCCCCCGAAGTGGCGGTGGCACCTTCGGTTCCACCGGACCAAGGCGGCTGACACAGGAACCTTCGGGGCCGCGGGACGGCTCAGGACAGGATGTCCGGGCGCCCCTCCACCTGGAGCACTGGGGGACCGGCCCGTGGCGGGTGTGCAGAACCGGGGGTGTCTCCCCTTGCAGTCACCCCTGCAGGCCAACCTCCCCAGGCACCCCACTTACCCGGCTCGGCGTCGCATCCCTGCGCTCGGCACCTCGCTCTGGGGCAAGCTGACAGCGGCGGCCAGAGAAGGCGCGGCAGAGAGGTGGGAGAAGGGTCTTCCTACCGCGCCGCAGGGCAGCCATGACCCCACGCCCCCCGGCTCCCGCGGCGCACGACCGAGTCGCGACAGCACGCGGGGCTGCCTTACGGCAGAGTCGCAAAGCCCGAGGGACAGGAGCGGTGCGGCCGACCGTGCGCTTTCCCCGCGGTGTGACGGGCTGAGGGAGCGGCGGGCCGGCGCGGCGGACCCCGGCGGCCACCCTCCGGTCGCGCCATTCCCGGCTGCCTTACAGCGGGGCCAGCGGCCGGCGCGGCGTGGTGGGTGCCGAAGCGCGGACGCCGGCGGAGGTTTTCCCGGGGTGTGCAGTGTTCGGCCCAAGGGCGGGGCTGCCAGGCCGGGACGACACCCGGAGCTGCGGCAGTCGTGGAGGCTGCGGGGTGCTCCATGGCGCGGGCGGTACAGGTGAGCGCAGCAGGCGCGGGGTCTTCTCCCCTCGCCGGGGGGCGGGCGCCGGTCCCAGCAGGACCACCCCTCGCCGGCGCCCACCTCGCAGGGCCTTTGCGCACTGACGGGGCCGGGCCGGACTCGGCGCCGTCCCCACCCCCGGATCCGACGCGGCCGGGCTGGCCGGGCCTCCTCCGTCCTCGCCCGGCTCCCCCGGGCAGGCCGGGTCTGCTCCCGCCCTGCCCCTGCCCCTGCCCGCCGGGCGCCCCGCGCCCCCGCGCGCCCATTGTGAGGTCAGGGCCGGCGGGCGCGTCGGGGGCCCGGGCCGAGACGCCCCGAGCGGCCGCTGCGGCCAGTAGCTGCCGCCGCCACCTCTGGCCCCTTCACCGGCTGCCCCGTCCAGACCTAGCCGGGAGGGGTGAGAGGGATGCAGCTTGGGGCCCCGCTCCGGTGCCGCACCCCGTAAAGGGCTGATCTTCCACCTCGCCACCTCAACTACGGGAACCAAGACCGCAGCCAGCTCAGACTTCTCCTGGGTAAAGCGCTGGGAGGGAAGGGCGAGAAGGGGGAAGGAACTGAGGCAGCCTGCCCTGCGCGGGCCTCCAGCCTCGAGAGGTTGGTTTCGGTTGATCGTCCACCTCGAGTGAGCCGCTTGGTAGAAACCCCGGAGAGTGAAAGATGCGTTAAGCCATTCGGACTCTAAGTGGGAGGCGAGTGAACGAGTTATTCGTAGCTGTCACGGTTTTGCGGGGTCTATTTTTGGAGCATGGTAGGGACCGGGGAGGTGCGAGTCCTCGAAAGCCCAAGATGGTGCCTTCAGCGTAACTCTGTCGCTCTTCCTTTCCCGTGGAATTCTGTGCCTCTTCAGGGAGACAGCTGCGGGGAGCACGTGTGAGGAGCTGGCGGGTGGAGAGGAATGTGGAAACGCAGGCTGATGGGGTGAAGAACACGCGGAAGGAGGGGGCTTAGAAGCTGGGAACCAGTGGTGCTTGTTTCAGTGGCTCAGTTTCTTTTGCTTAGAGATACTTTTTCTGGAAACCAGGCGTGTGTATTTGGCGGGGTAGAAGAGTTAACATTTCACCTTCCACAGAGGTGCCCTGCTGGTTCCAAAAAATAGCTTACAACGTTAAAGCATTCAGGTATTATTAGTATTTGCGCTGTTTTTGAACAAGGTGATTGTTCAACCTCTTCTGAAGCCATATGGTGCTCTCTTTTATAGTTGAAGAAAGTTGAAATTCCCAGGCCCAGAGCTCCAGCTCATACTCCACATTGCAGTAACTGCTGTCTGTTCTTACGTTTCAGTTACTTTCTGGAGAGGGATGATAAATCATCCTTTATTTACTGGGGTATGCCTGTCTTTTGGATTGCAATAATGAGGAGCCCTTTTATAAAGTATATCTTTAAAAAATGAGGAGTGTAGAACAAATTAATATATGATTAGCATTCTGCAGAGACTTTATGCTGTAATAAGTTATCATTTTTGTCATCTTTTAGTGCTTGTGAAACTGAACACTACAAAAGTATGGATATGGGAAACCAACATCCTTCTATTAGTAGGCTTCAGGAAATCCAAAAGGAAGTAAAAAGTATAGAACAGCAAGTAGTTGGCTTCAGTGGTCTGTCAGATGACAAGAATTACAAGAAACTGGAGAGGATTCTAACAAAACAACTGTTTGAAATAGACTCTGTAGATACTGAAGGGAAAGGAGACATTCAGCAAGCTAGGAAGAGGGCAGCACAGGAGACAGAGCGTCTTCTCAAAGAGTTGGAGCAGAATGCAAACCACCCACACCGGATTGAAATACAGAACATTTTCAAGGAAGCCCAGTCCCTCGTAAGAGAGAAAATTGTGCCATTTTATAGTAGCGGCAACTGCGTAACCGATGAATTTGAAGAAGGCATCCAGGATATCATTCTGAGGCTGACACATGTTAAAACTGGAGGGAAGATCTCCTTGCGGAAAGCAAGGTATCACACTTTAACCAAAATCTGTGCAGTGCAGGAGATTATTGAAGACTGCATGAAAAAGCAGCCTTCCCTGCCACTCTCTGAGGATGCGCATCCTTCTGTGGCCAAAATTAACTCCGTGATGTGTGAAGTGAACAAGGCCAGAGGCACTCTGATCGCACTTTTGATGGGAGTGAACAATAACGAGACTTGCAGGCACTTATCTTGTGTGCTGTCAGGGCTGATCGCAGATCTGGATGCTTTAGATGTGTGCGGGCGTACGGAGATCAGAAATTATCGAAGGGAGGTAGTAGAAGACATCAACAAATTATTGAAATATTTGGATTTGGAAGAGGAAGCAGATACTACCAAAGCATTTGACCTGGGACAGAATCATTCCATTTTAAAGATAGAAAAGGTCCTCAAGAGAATGAGAGAAATAAAAAATGAACTTCTCCAAGCACAAAATCCTCCTGAACTGTACCTGAGCTCCAAGACAGAATTGCAGGGTTTGATTGGACAGTTGGACGAGGTAAGTCTAGAAAAAAACCCCTGCATCCGGGAAGCCAGGAGGAGAGCGGTGATCGAGGTGCAAACCCTGATCACTTACATTGACTTGAAGGAGGCCCTTGAGAAAAGAAAGCTTTTTGCTTGTGAGGAGCACCCATCCCATAAAGCAGTCTGGAACGTCCTTGGAAACTTGTCGGAGATCCAGGGAGAAGTTCTTTCATTCGATGGAAATCGGGCCGATAAGAACTATATCCGGCTGGAGGAGCTGCTCACCAAGCAGCTGCTGGCGCTGGATGCTGTGGACCCGCAGGGAGAAGAGAAGTGTAAGGCTGCCAGGAAACAGGCGGTGAAGCTGGCCCAGAATATTCTCAGCTATCTCGACTTGAAATCCGATGAATGGGAGTACTAAAATACCAGAGATCTCACGTTTGATATTGCTTGTTTTGCACTTTATATGGACTTCTGTGTACTTATAGAGAGCTTTCAGTTCATGGAGCCTAAATGTGATTTATACATGCACATTTCAATCTCGGTATTTATGATTTAAGCAAATTATATTCACTATCTCTGCTGCTTTTGATGTTTCAAAACAAATAATCATTACAGCACATTAACTTTTCCATTTGGATCATTATCTGTATGATGTGGTGTGGTTTGGTTTGTCCTTTTTATTTTTTGTTTTTGTGTGTGTGTGTGTGTGTGTTTTTAATCAGAAAATGAAATAGAGGCAGCTTTTGTAATTAAATGTGTTGTGCAAGCATTAAAATGCAGATATTTCAGGATCTAGAAATAGACATAACCTTACGTAATACTAGAAAAATTATGAGAAAGGGGAAAATTTTGGTGAAATAGGAGTAAGGTCCAAACACAGAAGTAGTAAAATGCTGTGTTTTATTGTGCTAAATAAAGCAGAAAAGTTTTTTTCTTTTTTGCTTATAAAGCCTGATCGGTCCCACCCAGTTTAATGGCGTGGGGGTTTTTTGTTTATTTGGACCATCTGTTCTTTCATAAACATTTTTTTGTTTGAAAAACAGTGTATTTCTCCCATACTCTGCATTTTAAAGGGGGGAATCTTGGTTTTGTGTGCAACATAAGAAAATTATGAAAATGAATAGCCAAAAATCCCTTGAGACTACATTGAAGAAAAGGGATAAAGTACCAGCTATTAAATACCTTCGAATTGTTTTTGTTTATAAAATCTGAACTTAATGATTTTCCTTAGTGAGGAAATAGTAAGGATGGGAACATTCAAATGAAGTTAATGGACCATTTAAAAGGAAAATAAAGGAAACACCCATACCTGTAGTTGGAGAATGAAAACTTGAGATGAGTTACCGACATCAGGTTACACTAAAACCAAGCAAAAAAGTCTGAATGTAGTATGTAGTGGTTTTTCTTCTGTCATTCAAAGCTGTATATTGGACAAACTGTTAAACATACCCAATGCTGTTTTACAATGCGTGAGAGCAGAAACCGTCAGTAACTCTGAAGGACCAGGTCTTTATAGCTTTTCACAGGAAGTTAGCTGTTAAGTACTCACCTCTTAAGTATCAACTGGCTGGAAATGAAACGCTTGCTCTGGGTACCTGCTGAAGTCCTCAGCTCATGTTACCAGCATGTGGATGTTTCTCTGTTGCCTGAAAGAGCCATTAAAGTCTATTGTGCATGAAGTTTTTTTTATTCTGGTAAAGGGTATATATATTTCTGTAAATACTTTGAGGATCCAGTTTGACAGTTGCCTGCTAACGCGAGCAAAAGAGTTTCCCAGAGTTCTGAAGTGCCTTAGTAACATGTCAGTCCCGGTATCGTAACTAACAGACTATTTACCTGTAGTCACGTTTCACGAAATAATCCTGTTAGAGCACATCTTCTGAACTAATGTTATTCTCTTGCAGAGACATTTTGTAACTTTCTGTAGGGAAATTGTCACTTTAAACAGCTAAAAGTATGGTAGATGAAAGAATAGCCTTAAGTACCTAACAGATGATAAGAGCATAGCCCTAAGCAATCTCCACTTTGTCTCTGGGTATTGCCCAGTCATTAAAAGCCCTTGATGATGTCTTTCCTGCTAGAAATGTTCTAGAAACATTGGATAGTGGGGTCAAAGGGCAGGTGGGGTCAGGGCACTGAGCCCCTCCCACTGCAAGCTGTCAGTGCAGGTCATTGGAATTCTCATTTGGCCAAAGTAGTTTTAGGATTGCTCTTCTGTATCATAATTTTAGAGTGCTCTTAAAATCCTGAAGACTCTTTAAATTAGAGTCCTGTCTTAATCATACCACTGGGAAATCAAGGTTACACTATAATCACTTCAGACGTATCCTTCACCAGGTTCTACTAAATTTTTAATTTCATTTTTGAAAGCTGATGTCAGCATTCCCTTTGAAAGTGTCCATTCTTCCTTGAAAGCAGATTTCTCCTGTCATTCTTTTCAAACAAAAGAATTTGTGTGACTTTCATAGAGACATCTCGTCCTGCTGAACTTTGAGCGTCGCATGTGAGTGCAGAATACTGAACTCTCCGACGGTCACTGCAGATTTTTCACGGGGGTTACTTTGGTCGTTGGAATGATCAAATCGACCTTGAGTGATGTTAGGCATGGCTTTTCTTCCTAGTTCCTAGCTTTTTTTCTACTTCCTTGTGCTGGATTATTCTACTCCCGTAATGAACCCTGGTGACACCGCATCTAGCTTTTCTCATCCCCCGTGGGAGCCGTTTGTGTTAGTATGGGCTGCTGCATGTACATTTTAAACTGGGCTTATCACACTGTATTGTATTTTTGTGAGAATCTGTACTGCAAGTAAAACCTACTCCCAAAAATGTGTGGCCTTGGGTCTGCATTAAATGGTATAATCCACGTTCATGCAAAAGCGGCTGGGAATGTTTGCTTTTTACCGGACGTCCAGTCAGCACCGCTTTCAGGTCATCTTTATCCAGACAGATTAGCGCCGATCGGCCTATGGTGAAGTGGTTATTAAAATAAATGTCATGACTAAGTCTACAAAGTACTGTTTAATGCTTTATTTTGCTAGAATGCCTGTATATTTGACATAATTCAGTATGTTTGAGAAGTTTAACCAGTTTTTCTCATTTGTTTTGCTTTGCCAATTTTTATCTGCTTTTTGAGGATCTTAGCTTATTCTGTATATGCTGGGGTTTTTGAGCAAAGCTTTTCGGCTTTTAACTGGTGAGGTATTTTTCTTTTGAGAATAATTGGAGATATATTTGCCGTTGATTTCGATGTATAATACAGGTATATGTGTTCAGTGTGTTGGTTCCTGTCTCCTATTAACTGTGTAACTGTTGTAATAGTATGTCTTAAATAATTCAGTGTTATTTTGAGATATGCATATTAGTATACCCTTAATTATTCGTGAAATAAAACAAATCTCTCAGCTTATCTTTGCCGTGGAGAAAGGGTGTGAGTCTGAGGTGTGTGTTCTGCTCTGATGTTGGCCCTGTGCTCCTTGTGTGTTCTCGCCTTTGCGCGCTGTCTGGCCTGGGTAAGGGCCTTTGTTACAGAGCCCAGAGCGGGCCAAGCTTGGGCCCGGGTGGGCTCCTTGGCCACAGTTGGTGTGCAGTGTGAGCAGGCGATGGCAGTACAGGCTGGCCAGGACGCAGGCACAGGTGACCGGGCCGCTGTGCTCCCTTCTAGACAGCCCAGGAAATGTGTGTGGGACGGGGGTCATGACCTCACGCTCTGCTGCCCCAAGAGGATGCCCGTGACTCCTACTAACAGGACTTGACCCTACTTGTAGAAGGAGAAGAAACTCTGGGGTGTGGCTCTGGCCAGATCCTCTCCCCAGAAGAGAGTTTTCACCAAAGTGTGCTACTGAAACTCATCTTCACTGCTTTTTTTTTTTTTTTTGAGACAGAGTCTCACTCCTTTGCACCAAGTAGAGTGCCGTGGCGTCAGCCTAGCTCCCAGCAACCTCAAACTCCTGGATCGCTTAAGTAATCCTCCTGCCTCAGCCTCCTGAGTAGCTGGGGCTACAGGCGTTCACCACTACACCCAGCTAATTTTTTCTAATTTTAGTCACCCACCTAATTTTTCTATTTTTAGCAGAGATGGGGTCTTGCTCTTGCTCAGGCTGGTCTCAAACTCCTGAGCTCAAGCGATCCTCCTGCCTCGGCCTCCCAGAGTGCCAGGATTACAGGCGGGAGCCACCGCAGCCAGCCAGCCCTGCCACTTTCAAAGCTGGGGGGATTACTTAGTCTCTCTGAGCTTCAATTTCTTCTGTAAAGTGGGCAGTACTTAGCACTTAAGTTCGAAGGATTCAGCTGGTTAGTACAAAAAGCATTTAGCTTCAGTGTTACATCCCCAAGTCACCGCATCCACGTATGCCTTTTAATGGGAAAACTCATAAACTGCTGTTCTATCCAGATGTCTTCCAATTGTGAATTTTAACTGCAGAAGTTCTTTCTACATTAACATCAAAGTGAAGGGAAGGTATTTCTTCTCTTGGGATTCATAGGTCTTTCCAGAGCTGCGTGGATCTGTGACCCCAGTTTGAGAAGCACTCTGCCTTACGCTGCCTCAACATCTCTGGGCTTCATTCCAGGGTTCCGGTAAACCACTGGTTTTCCGTGTATATAATAATCGTTTGAATTCTTCAGCTGTTTCCCTGTAGCTGCCTGTTTTCCAGATGAACGTAGCTACTTCTCCCCCCCGGTCCATCCTCCCACACTGCACGTTTGCCCCACTTCAGTCCTCGGGGGGCTGGGGACATGGAGCTGGGTGGTTCCGAGAGCTGAGCAGAGGGGAAGTCACCTGACGGCTTTCCTGTTCGCAGCCTGGGATCTGCCGCTTTCACCCCCACGCCCCCGCCTGCCCCTCCAGGCCACTGGCTATTAATAGCCCGGACCACTGGCTTGTGTCACGCCAGGCTCCAGTGCCTTTCAAGGCAAGAACTGTCTGCACCCGTGTAGCCTCGGGCCCTAGCAACAATGGGCCCCAAATATCTTTTGGATGAACTATTTTTAGAAATAATGTCCTCAGCTCCCAGCACATAATAGGCATTCAACAAATACCAGCTGAATAAATAAACTGAAAATCTCGGATCTGTAGATAGCTTCATAGAGTGTCTAAAATCAGTCACCTCTTTGATCGTCAGGATCCAAAGGACCTTTCCTCTGCGGCACCTTCTGCCAGGACTCTGGCGTCCCACTGCCAGGATCTTTCACCTGAGGCCCATGTCACCCCCTCAGGAGCTCAGGTAGAATCAAAGGTGCCCCACGCTCTTGGAGACCCTGGGACGCCACATCCACGGGCCACACCCCTGCCTTAGGCGCTGCGGAGCCCTTGGCTGACTGCCCTGCCGAGGGGGCCAGGTGGCCAGAGCCCCCCATACCCCAGCCTGTCTGGGCCGGTGGTGTCAGTTTTGGTCCCTGGAACTCACCTGCAGCGGGATTTCGAAGCGCTCTGCTCGTGCCCTGTGACAGCGGAGACCTGTGTCCACGTGTCCTCGTGCTGCTGAAAGGGGCCGGGCATTTTTAAATGAGGAATCCTTCGGACTGCGGGGTGGGGAAGTACTTGCAGGAAACCCAACAGTTGGTGGGGGCGGAGGACTGGAGGAGAAGAGTTAATTCCAGGGACGGGCTGTGTCCGTGCAAACACCTGCGAGTGTCTGTTGGGTG